ACGATCCTCAACCCAGACCGTGTACATCACTTTGCCGATCTTGCCGCAAACGACTCCTGGTGCCCAGCGCCATTTATTATTGCTGTACACCTTTGCGTAGACCGGATCGTGTGCAGAAAAACTTCTCCTTACTTCATCGTCTGGATTGGGCTCTATCGGCGGTAGAGTAGATCCAAACTGGTTCTGATGCGACGTCCAAACATAGCTTCGGACGGTGATTTTCCATCTTCGACCTGACGATTTGGCGTTGTGCGGTAGGTTAGAAGGAAAATGTCCAACGCTTCACCAACACAGTTCTTCCCCTCCTGGATTTTCTTCAGCACCCGCTTGAATGTGTCCACGAACCTTTCAGCTTGACCGTTTGACTGAGGATGAAAAGGTGCCGTGGTGACGTTATCGTCCGCTGTCACTGCAGAACTTCTGGAAATCGCTGCTCGTAAACTGCGTACCATTGTCACTAACGAGCGTTTCGGGCATTCCTAGACGGGCGAAGATGTTCCGTAGAATGCTGATCGTTGCTGTAGATGTTATTCGTTGCTGTGGATGTTATTCGTTGCGTAGGCACCCCTTCAGGCCACTTCGAATGGGCATCGATGGCTAGCAGGTAGTAGACTCCGTCAATGGGGCCGGCAAAATCCACGTGGACACGCTTCCATGGACCACTAGGCTTTGGGGAATGCGGTGGAGATTTTGCCACGGATGCGCAGTGCTTGCATGCCTTCACGAACCCAACAATTTCATCGTGAATCGATGGCCAGTACACATAACTCCTTGCTATGGACTTCATGCGTTGTATCCCTGGATGTCCCTGGTGTAACTGTCGCAAGCACCGCAATCGATGCTTCTCAGGAATCACCAAGAGTTCACCGAACATGATGCATTTCCCAACAGAACACAACGAATCTCTATGCCCATGGAACCCTGATCGGCTTGTGTATCTTGCTCCACAATCTTGAAGCTCAACGTCCGCAATGAATCGTACATCCTCCTCCAAAATCACGCTCGCAATCACGTAATCCTCCTCAGGTTTGGCATGATTGTTGATCAATCTTGAGAGGATGTCGGCATTCCCAAACTTCTCGGTTGGAATGTACTCGATGGCGAAATCGTATAACAGTAACGTTGACGCTGCAACCGGTTTGCTGTGTACACGGGAATGCCCTTCCGTGAACCGAGTATTCTGGTGCGTGATCGGTCTGCAAGCGAAACTGCCTTCCAAAGATCATTTTGTGGAATTTCGTTACGGCGAACACAACTGCTAAACCTTCGCGATCCGGCTGGCTGTAGCCCATCTCTGCCTTCGTGAGCGCACGTGCCGCCTTCACCGACCCGCCGGGGAACCTGTGGCTGATTGTTGCACCAACGCCTATCGATGAAGCATCCGCCGATACAATGATCTCTCGTCGCAGATCGTAGTGAGTTAGCAGAAGATCGGAACCAAGTAGCTCTTTGAACCGATCGAAGGCACGCTGACACTCGGTTGTCCACAGGAATTCTCCATTTCCTTTCAGCAACTCATCAAGTGGAAACCGCAGTGTACGCATATTCGGCACGAACTTCCCATAATAGTTTATGGCGCCCAAGAAAGAGCGAACTCCACTGACATCCTTAGGCGCTGGCAGCTTCTGAATAACTTCGATCTTTGCTGGATCCGGTCGCAGCCCGTGACGATCCAGCAAATGTCCCAAATAGCGAATCTGGCTTTCTCCAAAGGAGCACTTCTCCGAACGAATGGTGAACCCGAACTCTTGGATTCTTTGCAGCACCGCCCGAAGATTCTTCTTGTGGTCCTCTTCGTCCTTTTATGCCAGCCAGCATCGTATCGATCAACTGCTGGAACGCTTCCGGCGCTGCCTTCACCCCTGGCGGGAGACGATTATAGCGGTACAGTCCTCGATGCGTGTTTATGGTCAGGAGGTCACGAGAACTTTCGTCCACCTCCACTTGCAAAAACGCATCCGTCAAATCTATTTGGCTGAAGACGGTGCAGTTTGCTAGGTTAGCGAAAATGTCCTGCGAAGAGGCAAAGGGTACTGGTGGGACTGCAGAGCGTCATTCAGTCCCGTTGAATAATCCCCACAGATACGGATCGTACCATTCGCCTTACGAACCACCACAATCGGAGCTGCCCACTCCGAGAAGTTCTTCGGTTCGATAATTTTCTTCCGCTCCAATCGGTCCAGTTCATCGTCCACCGTCTTGTACATGGCATACGCTACCGGACGCTTTGGACAAAACACAGGGGTCATTCCGACCTTCAACTGTAACTTCACCTTCGTTTTCTTACATAGCCCAAGATCGCCAAAAAACACATTCGGGTACTCTGCCTTTAACCCGCTTACACTGGCCGGAGTGCTACTGACCTGGTTACAAATTGAGTCGAAAGGAATCGACCACAATCCGAAAGCTTCGATCGTGTCAGAACCCAGCAGGTGTAACTGTTCCTTGGTGACCCGCAACACTCGCCGATCAATGGAAAGATAACAAGAAAACTCACCTTCAATCTGCAATGGCCTACCACTGGCTGTCTTTGCGATGATCGTCGACGCAGACGTTGAAGGGCTGCCAATCTTGCACCAGGTATCCGACGAAATTATCGTGATGTCAGACCCCGTATCGATTTGCATACGCACCGGTAATCTATTGATTCCAACCGGCACGTACTTTCGACGCTCCTGCACACTGCACGAATTCACAGTCACTAACTTGGCCGCTGCAACGTTGGGCTTCCGTTGCCTGAATTTTACCTTCAGTGCACTCCAACAGTAGCCATCCTTATGGCCTACCTGGCTGCAATCGCTGCACTTATGGCTTTTGTACGTGAACTCCCTGGCGTAATGCATGCCACCGCATAGCCAACAAGCTCTTTCCGGACTAGTTTTGCCGCTGCTCGCTCTCCAACTACCCTTCTCACTGCCGGACTGGTTGAATTTCGACGGCTAGGTTCCCTTGAAACGGTACTGCTTCGTCTTCAAGGCTTTCACAGACATTGAGTTCTCCTCAATCATCGCAGTACCGTGCCGCAAGTTCAACAAACGTTGACACTCTTCCGACAGCTGTTCCAGCGTAACATCATTCCACTCCTCAATCTTCGACAAGAGCCGCATCCACACATCTGCATCTTTGTCCGACTTCAAGCCACACACGAATACGAGGCACTTGAACTGCTCCTCCGATAGCTTGGACAGCTCGAACTCGACGCACGATTTGTTAATGCGGCAGGCATACGTCACATAGTCCTCCTGTGTCTGCTTGACGATTTGCAGGCAACGATACCTCCGGCTAATTACAGATTCGGCAGCACCGAACAAGCTGGTCAACTTTTTTACCGTCACCGCAAAGTCAAAATCTTTCGGTGCCTTTGGCAGAATAAAGCTGATATACCTTTCGTGCTCCGATATCCCCAGCTTTCGCATCAGCAAGCGCACTTTTGCTCCTCCGTCGAGTCGGCTGGCATCCTTCGCGAACAAGTCCTCATATCGACTATACCACGCAGCGAACGTAACATTGCTGTCGGGATCGTATCTGAACTCCTTGCTATTGTTCGCCAAGGAATCTAACACAGCTTCCGGATTCGCTGGGACCTGCACCTGGATCGATGTCATTATACTGCGAATCAGCTGCTCCTGCTGGGCCATAAACGCTTGCTGATGTTGCTGCATAACCTCCTGTTGCTGCCGAAAAAGGTCCGTGACATAACCCTGCTGCTGCTGCTGAAACCATAGCAGGAACGGGTCCACTTGTCCGGCTGGAGGCGGATTTCTAAACTGTTGCTGCTGCGGAATCGGTCACACATTGCCGGTAGGCAACTGCTGTCCATTTCCCGGCTGAATCGGACCCGAGTTGTCATCCATTCTTATTCGTTTCACTGTGGGTAACGTTGTGATGGGATATTTTCACCACTCTTCACAACTTTTCCACTACCGAAGTCGCCACTTTTGTATCCCGCACCCGTACGTGGTGGCCGAACTCGCGATACGCGAACATTGGACGCGAATACAAATTAAAACTAGTTAAAAACTCGGAATGAAAATAAAACACGATGTTACGATGAAGAACTAAAAACACTTCTATTTACATACATGATGACAACATATCTCATTCACTCTTTATGCGCTTTGTTGACATCTGAAGGATAACGGATAAAACAGTCACCCGCGAGTCCAGCGGCGGCGGAGTGGATAGGGATACTCCGTTTTCCAGTTGTCCCCAACAGTCTGCCATTTCCGCAAGCTTGGCCATTGTTCCGTCGTGACAAGTGATGATAGGACGAATGTCCGCAGGCAAACGCTGGATAAACAACATCTTCAACAAAATTGTCGTCAATTCCCAAACCAACCGAAAGTTCCTGCATTTTTGACAGCAGATGCGTAGGACGTAGATCCCCAAGATCGTGCGTTCCAACCTGTTTTCCGGCGAAAGCGCGGTGTTGCAACAAGATCGATAATGTGAGAAATGACAGACTGGTCAACTTTTGCCACTATATGGTGAAATTTCGTCTCGTCGATTGCGAAAATTGCGCAAACAGCTTGCGCAAACCACATGGCTGGGTCCGTTTTCCAGAAGTCCGGTAATTTTACACCTACTGCTGCCGCTTTATTGTTGGGCTCCGGGTTAGCCATTTTGAGGTTAGTTTCATACGATTTACCGAAAAACGGGTCTTTGTGATCGAAACGGGTATACCGACCGAATTTGAAAGGTTTTGCGACGTCGCGGGTCACCAATGTGGTGTTTCGAACCGATTTCAATGATCGAAGACGTTTATTACGGATAATCAAACTCTTCATTCTTGGCAAATTACACGCAATTGCAAACTCGGCGTTACAAGAATAATCCTCCTTTTTCTTTCCCCTCCTTCCCGCCGTCCTTTCTCTCCCTTCGCGCACAGCTCTGTCAACGGCTGCAAATTCCAGGGTGGTATCCATTTCATCAGTTACATCCCACACCTCCAAGGTGACCTGTCAAGGAATGTCATCCAAACTGAAACGCCTCACTCCTGCTATGTTCAATGTCTAGTTTCAAAAAAGAAAACTGTATTCAATTCCTTCAGCATATAATTTCGTCGGTTTATATGTTTGTAATTGTTTTGTTTTTTTTATCATCGCTCACTATGAAATCAAAATTGCAGTCGATTATATTGGTTGCTTCAATCTAAAGTTGTTTTCCGTCAATTAACTGTTGCTATCGCCATCTATACATATCAACACACTAGTATTGTTTTTTTTTTCAGCAGTCGAAACAACATACTATAGTCTGCTATTTATGGCATTTTTTTTTTCTCTTTTCAATGAAATGCATAATTATTGTTCCTGGAAAGTTGCTACTACCGCCGTCAACTGTCGTATTTTGTCGTGAGCTGTTCCTTTTTTCAACTCTAAATTATATATGCGCACGTACGTTTGTATATATTCGTTCGCGTAGAATCTAATAAAATCAATCATAATAAGTAACACTTACATAGGTAGAGAACGGAGAAATAGATTTAGTTTTGACATTAAATCAATGATAACTAAATTGCATCAATAGAATTGCAACTGGTGTTTTACGTTTCGAGAATTAGTTTTCGAAGAAAAGTCGCGTGACCTCCCTTCGTAACTATATTGCATTGAACCAAACAAAACAGTGGAAGATGAAACATTGCTCCGTGAGCAGTTGTTTAGAAATTAGTAGAATTGTACACTTTATCTCAAAGACAAACATACGTAACACTTCGAACATGGCTTCCTGCAAGTAGGTCGTCAGGAACCTCGGGAACCTAAGCAAGTGAAATGGATTGCATAAAAACGTCAGCATTCTTATGGAATGAAGCGTTACATTTGTTTGTCTGTGTATGTAGATTTTGTTCCGTAATTAGTGCTGCCATCTATGTTTCATAAAAGATTCACTGAAATTTAAGTGGCACAACTTTTCTTGGAACGCTAGTCCTGTCGTTATACGCATAATTTTACCAAATGCTTTGCAATGGATTAATGCAAGCTGCCAGTTTTGATCTCACAATTACTGACAGCATGACGCCACCTACCAGTTATTCAAAAACATTATGAATGGAGATATGATTTTTTTTCTCCGAAAATAGCGATTTTAGAAGCGAAAGCAGAAAACTAAAATTTGGTAGGTCACTTCGATCAAAAATAAATGCTACCACTTGTACCAACAGGTTCTAATTTCGTAAAAATCATCAGTTTTTACTAGCGACATCTGTTGCGAAAATCAACTATGCTTTTACTGTATTCTTATGGACAGTTATGCGTATACCGGCAGTGTATGTGTGTGTTTAAAATTAGTATTGCTTACACCTAATATGTTAATGTGTTAAAAATTAAAATAAAAGATCATTTTTATAAAATGAGATCACAAAAATGGAATGTTTTTGCCTTTTTAAAGAAACGGAAAAGGGGAAACTTTAAAAGAGATATCTAACCTTATATAGCTCTGGAAGCGTTTTTAGAGTACGTGATTCGTATTGCCGTTTCGTAAACATTAGATTTATGGAGAGGATGAAAGTGGGTGAACGATAGGATATGAATGGGTTTAGAGAGCGAGAGAGATAGAGTAGATTTAGGCCAACAAAAAATCCCTACGAAGATATGGCAAGAGAGGACCACCACCGCCACCACCCCAACCTACTCCGGCACTCGGGTGTTGCAGTTCCCGTGGTACAACTTGATCGTCCCTTCGCAGTGGAAGTAACTGTCGAATACCTTACCGTAGCCGTTCTCTTTCCACCAGGTGCACAGCTGGCGATTCCAGACGCAGTCCAGCCGGTAGATCAACCCGGGGAACTCAAATCCCATCAGCGTGTAGAAGTCCTGATCGCCAAGGTGACCCTTAAACGAGTACTTCTCCACCATGTTCTTGACCGATTCCTGTTTGATGATTTCCGCGTACAGCCGAGACTGCCGGATGCGATCCAGCCGGAGCATGACGACCCCTGAGTTCAGCCCCGGATAGCCGTGCTTGGTTTTCTTCGCCGTTCGACTGAAGAAACCACCCACGGAATTGCCGATTGCTGTTTTGTTCATGTAGTATGGTGTTCCAAACAGGGTGTGTTGATTTTGGGCTCGGTACTTGAACAGGATGTGCAAGTACACCGGGGTCAGTTCCGGTGCTAGGCCGAACAGGTGCTCCGAACCGAACCGATCGAACTCGTCGAATAGATCCTTGACAGACGAACGGAACACCACGTCGCAGTCGATGATTATCGCCCGTTTCATGTTTACGTCGACGATCCGGTGCAGTCCGAGCGAGATTAGGAACAGGGCGTCGCTGTAGTAGCTTCCTGCAAATGGAGAGGTCGTAAGAATTTGGAACTTTCTGTCAGTTGGGACGATGAATATCAGTGTTCATCACTTTTTGATTATAGCACTGGATACAAGTGTCCCTTCGACATAAAAGTCAATAGGATTCTATCAGAGGCAGTTTATGTAGATCTGACGGCGACCTATTATTTGAGCTCAAATCTCGAGTGTGACCCAAAGAAATCACCCCTATTCTGTATTTCGATTCGAACGAAATTCTCATACAAAAAAATATTTTTTTGTATGAGAATTTCGTTCGAAACGAAATACAGAATAGGGGTGAATATCTAGGCTTTTAAAGCTTCTTTTGCCAGCATTTGGCAGGCTCTCAACTCAACTTATTCCACAATTATTAATTGATAGCGTTCTATGCCAACCAATGCATGAATTTGTATTTTGTGTAGCAAGCACAATTACTCTATGTTCCGGGAAGTAGCGAAAATTTCCGGCATTCGCATCCGACTAGCTAACACCGTGCCTTTATCAACTAGACTATGTATCTGATCCACCCCACCCAAAGAAAATTTCCTAATGAATCCAAATCGATCACACCCCAATCCACCTACCCGTCTTATAGTTGAACAACGGAAGCATATTCTTCACAATGTCGCTCGTCTTCTCCGCACAGTCCTTCACGTCGTACAGCGTGTAGAACACCACCTTCCGGTAGTGGGCAATCTGCTCCCGGATCAGCTCCTCCGCCGACGTTTCGCTCTGCTCGTCCGTAATCACGTGCAGATGGATCGGGATGGTGGCATACTTGAGCAAGCTCTTCAGGAACAGCTCGAACTTGTCCCTCAGGTTGGAGTTCTGGCTTTCCTTCGTGTAGATCACAAAGATATTATACTCGGTGGCATTGTTCTCCTTCGGGACGTACTTGACCCTTTTCAGTTCCCCGAACCGTGCAACGCCACCGTCACCCCCTATCAGGTGAGCCACCTTGGCCGCCGTTCCACCACCCCCCGCCAGCAGACTGTTATCTAACACTTCCGGATGATCGGCACCATCAAAACCGTCAGTCTTTTGAAAAATCATCAGAATATTCCGCCGATTGAAGATGCTACTGTTGGCGTAGATTATCAGCAGGAACCCACTGGCAATGATCAGCACCAGCAGGATTTTGTTCATGCTCATAGGATGGTGCTTCAGTTTGACGGTGTTGTTGATCTGGCCAGCCACCAGCGGATTGGTGGAAGTGGTGCGCTCCGTTCTTCTATTTGCAGCTTAATCTAATTACAACACACAGGTGCACGGGTTTTCCACTGCATTTTATAAACTTTTCAGCAACTGCAAAGCGGATTACACTAGTTTGTTCGCAAAACACCAATGAGTGCCGTCATTTTCAGGCCATTTAAAATAACAAAAATTCCTGCGTTTAAAAGGATTTTCTAGTTTCTCTTCTTCGTCCTTCTTGTTCCTGCACTCTTTTTCGCATTTTTTTTATGGAAATCCCTGCTCCGGTATCGAGGGGTGAGCCCATGAAGCAGTGCTCTACGTTATACAAACATCAACATCATCAAAGTCAATAATGAATAGTTAAAAAGCCTCATCGTTCGAAATGTTGTAAACGAACAAATAAATTGTGCATGAAGCTCTAATTACAACATAAAAAGAAAATTTATATTAGAGCATTTTTTAATAGTACCAGCCAAATTTCAACTGGTGGTAGAACGGTTACCTCTAAATCTACTATTACAAAGTGTTTATTATTCATATTGAATATGGACCCCCAGAGATTTGTTTTCATTATTTGTCGGATTAGAGTTATGATTTGTCGGACAAACGGGAGTGTGTGGCTAAAATACCGAATTCAGTTACACCGGAAGCACGATATATCTAGACTATTATTCGAAAGGGGCGGAAGTACCAAAATGGAAGTGGAATTCCATATTTCAGTGCCAACATTTCAAAGGGGCGTAATTGCTTTTGTAAACAATGACTTTAGCCATCAATTTCTCGTGAATGAAATCTTACCTCTCCAAAATGACAATGCTAACTGGTAGAGGAAACATTTCTCTACCTGCTGGTGTCATTATTTTTCATGAGTGAGCTTTTATTCACGAGAAATCGACGGCTAAAGCCATTGTTTACAAATGCAATTACGCCCCTTTGAAATGTTGGCACTGATTTGTCGAGGAATTTATGTTGTTGTTGACTGTATATATTATGAAATAAAAGCTGAACACAACCCGACCAACCGTTCGTGAAACTTCTTCAAAGTTCTTTATATAGAAATAAATATTGATGTCGGCAATTCTTTACTAAAAATTTTCTATGATTTCTATGTACACATTTAAAAATCTTTATTGATCGATACTTACATTTAAGATTATTTCTTCATCAGTCATATGATAGTAATCTATAAAGGTGCCATACTAAATTTCTTTCAATTTCGATATGTCACATGGACTTTAGTATTCTTTACAAATATTCATCGATAAATATTTAAATACTGATATCATTGTAACTTTGAACTTTGACAAAGAACAACAAAGATTGCCATCGATGCACATTTATAATCTCCTTGTTATCGATTTGCATCACCGGTTAAAGAGAGTTCGAGACACACCAGGTGACAGATGACAATGTTTATATTATTTATCGACATATTCGGTATTTCATCGGAAGAAGCAATCTGCCGGTAAATGAACGAGAAGACCGATGGCCGCGACGCAGCAAATGTTTACCATTGTAGTTCTTCAAGTTTACGTCTATATATTTAATAACCCGTGATAGCATGCTTTGTGGGATTCTCGGCATTTGGAACCCAATGTGTAAAATTAATACCTTTTTGGCCTCTAGTACACCTACATTGCTGACTGGTTGATGGTATATTGAATTCATGTATGAAAAGATTTACAGAAATTTCAATACACCACATACTAGAGTGTGTTTTCCTGTCGTTGATAAGCTCATCAACAGCAGCCGTGGACCCGAGGATTAGCAACCAACAACGAAATCAGTACACCCCAGATGGCATGGGATCGAAACTAGAAATTATGCAGATAAAAAATCCCAAATAAAATCAGCAGCTGTGTATCGATATTTTGATTTTACAACAGAAATCGATATTTTGATCTGGCAACACAATCGATATTTTAACATTGGTAACGATTGGTAGCAATATTTTGAGAAAGATCTTTATAAACGATTCACGATTTGACTTTTAGCATCTTTACAATTATTCATGAAATGGTGACGATCGCTATCGATTTTTCTTATGAATGGCTTTGAAGATCGATGTATAGAAAATTAAAGAAAATTAACGAAATGGTTGGTCGGGAACCCGCATAAATGCGAACCATCACTTGATCTTATCGATAATGGTTATAAATTATTTATAATCCCTCCTAAACTTTAACTGAAATGGTTATGGAACTTTACATGAACGTTTGTGTGATAAAGTTTCAAGCTTATGTATTATGGTTTTTTGGAAGCGGACCTTACAAATAATGGGTTGTTAAGAACCATTACCATCCCAAATTCTTGTTTTCTCCATACATTTTCAGAAAGAGAACTATATAAGAACGTTTTTACTTATGATTTGAGAACATTAATGGTAATGGTTATGGTCTCGGTTATGGTAGTCAGTAAGGTCCATTAATGGTTTTGTATTATCGCTCAACTTTACGTGGAATATATCGTGAATTGGTAATCAGTAAATTACAGGCAACCAATTCGCGATATATTCCACATAAAGTTGATCGATGTTACAAAACCATTCGTGGACCTTACTGACTACCATAACCATTACAATTAAAGTTCTCAAACCATAAGTTAAAAGGTTCTAATATAGTTCTCTTTCCGAAAATGTATGGAGAAAACAAGAATTTGGGACGGTAATGGTTCTTAACAACCCATTATTCGTAAGGTCTAGTTCCAAAAAACCATAATACATAAGGTTGAAACTTTATCATTAAACGTTCATGTAAAGTTCCATAACCATTTCAGTTAAAGTTTAGCAGGGATTATAAACAATTTTTAACCATTTTAGGTAAGGTCAATTTATGGTTCGCGTTTATGCGGGAATGAAACTGTTTATTCTCAAGACTACTAAACATTTAACAGACTAATCATAGTTTACCGAACCACCGAATCTATGTATAACAATAATTTGAAAATAACATTATAGTTTTTTAAACGACAAAATGAAACCTGGAAAATGGAGCATTTTTGTAAGAGCAACCGTAACGGTACGCTGCTAAACTCATTTTAGCAGCCCTCATCATAGCGCAGCTACCGTATCGGGGGTTGCCATACGAGTAACTAAAATAGCAGTCGGCTTCTCGGTGAGAAGCGCGCTACCAAATTTAACAGCGCGATAGCAGCGCGGGAGAAAGGTTGCTATTCGTAGAAATGTTAAAATGCTCTCTACCGGTACGGACAAAAGCGAGTAAATTGATAACCGCGATAGCAGCGACCGGTGTGGAGAAGAGTGACTAAACTAAAATGAGAGCGCTGTGCGCTGTTAAAATAGTCGCGCAAATGACAACGACCGTTACGGTTGCTCTAAGGTTATCGTTCAGCTCATTAACCCATTTAATGAGCAGGCCCCTAATATCGCCACATATTTTATAATCTGTGACGTTTTGTAATTTTCCACTAGAAGCTAGTTCAAGCCTCTAAGGGAACATCCATTAAGTAAGTTACGCTGTGGAGGAGGGGGTGTTACAAATGTGTGACATTAGGTAGTGGAACAAAGTGACGAATGGGAAGGGGGAGTACATTTTCTCTAATTTTTGCGAGGAGTACTTAATGCATGCTTTCCAACTCAATGGTTCCAACACCATGGTTTTTTAGGGTGAAATAATAGATTTTCTTTAAACGAAACCTGTAGTACCATAATGTCCGCATGGGAATGTTCAAAGTAAGCGTCTGTAAGAAAAATATCAGGTGAATTGAATGTTATGATAGTCAATTTTAATCACACACGAAGTGACAGACGACTAACTGGTGAAGAATTCAATTAAAATAATGTGGTTCGCTGTAATAGAATTTTCTTAGACGCTTGTGCTATCAGCCACCAGATGGGCTAGTATTTTTGTTTTGATTTGAACAACGTTGATTTTCTGTGCAATATGATCTTTGACAGTATGCAAAGAGTGTATCATTTTGTCATTTTTTTATGCATTTCAGTTTAGAGTAGAGTGAAAGAGATAGAATCAAAACATTGTAGTACATTTAGTGTTGCCATGTGGTACAATCTATTAGTAGTGTTGCCATGTGGTACAATCCAGTAGTAGTGGTGTTGCCATGTGGTACACTGAAAAATTGCAATAGCAGGTTAGTCACCAAAGTTTTCAAGCCGCTCCGTCTGCCACTTCGTTTGTGATTTTAATAAGCGTTCTAAATTTTGTTCTGAACTGATTTTTCGATTAAAACTTGACTAACTTGGCGACCTTTATGAGCTTCAAGTAGAAGGGCATCGTATGAGGGGAAATCCATGGGAATGTTGTTCATTTTTGCGGCCCATAATGCTACGGAAGCTATGAGACTCGGCTCTCCGGCTATAGCCACAGCAAAACACAATATTTCTTGCATCGTAGATAGAGTCGTCCCCCTCGCGAGGAAGTATTAAGCTGGACCATAGCTCAAGATTAGTTTAAACAGCATCATTGCTATTATGCCTCTAAACAAATAAACCTGAGCCCCGTAATAAAAATCTTAAAAGATCCGAAATATTTTATTTATTACTCATTGATATTTATTGATCAAAGTACTGGAAAACTCAGCAAAAATAATGTAAACAAATAAATTACTGAAAAAGTCAGCAATTTTTTTACTGACTAAAACGGCAAATTTTGACATTTCAGGGATTTTTCCATTTACCGAGTTTTTAGTTAAACCAAAAACTACTGAGTTGATTGCTGAAAACTCAGCTGTTTAAAAACCCAGTAAAATTTTACCGACTTCGGTAATCTAAACTCTGTGTGTAAGCCTTAGTTTGACAAACTTCTAATTTTCATAGCATTACTCAGCCCCAGTCAAAACTTGATGTACAAACAATTTCCTTCCCAATTGGGTTCTTTATTTTTTTTAAATATATCGGTTTTTATCTCGGTTTTTATACATCATCTGAAAGATTTTCGTTTTCTGAGCACAGCGATATTTTTTCGAATCTACACACTTTCATCTCGATTTTTAAATCAAGATTTAAGGCAAAATAATAACTTCACTGTTTGACACTTAAATAACAGACTGACTGCTCGCTTCCATACAAAGTGACACCGAGGGGCACTAATAACATAGAGGTAACTCTAAGACTAGAAGGTCCCGAAATAACGTGCTCAACTTTTTGGCTCAGCTCTGGTACTCTCTTCGGTCCCAAGCTAATCGAATCACCCCTCGAAACATAGGAAAAACCATAATAACCCCTCATTTTATTTGTCAAACTTTCATAGCGAATCAAAACAAACATTGCGTAGTACTAGAATTTCGACTAGAATAGGGTACGTTAATCGTTTGCTTGGGACCAATAGGCTACTAAAGTGGTGAGCCAATTTAAAATCGTTAGTTTCGTATTGATTGTTGCTAATAAGGTGATTTTTGCAAATGTAATCGTTCTTATTTAAAATAGTTCCTGTGTACCGAAATTTATGAAATTTTGGGTTTGGGTTCCACTTTTAATGCAGATTACGAATATGCATTTAGCTCAATATCCTTAAAGAACCATATTCCTCGATGATACGATAATAGACTTCTGTCAAAATGTCCTCCGCAGCTGGCTTAATCTTGATTTGTGTCCCAACAAGGATACGTACCAACAATCAATACGAAACTAACGATTTTAAATTGGCTCACCACTTTAGTAGCCTATTGGTCCCAAGCAAACGATTAACGTACCCTATTCTAGTTGAAATTCTATTACTACACTATGTTTGTTTTGATTCGCTATGAAAGTTTGACAGATAACATCAGGGGTGTGTGGATTCATGCAGAACATGCAGGAGTGAGTGAAATAGCTTGGGACTGCTTGGGACCGTTGTTCTGGTACTGAGTGAGCCAAAAATAATAATGATTTTCTTCGGGACCCAGTGGTCTTAGAGTTACCTCTATGTACGTACTGCGAACGTGCATAACAGACGTTCAATTTCTCCAGCTGCTGCTGCTGAAGAACAAAATACCTCAATTAGTTAAATCAGAACAGAAATGAAAATGACCACACTGACTGCCAATGTTTTCTTCAGTTTTATTAACGATAATTTTTTATGTCAAGAATTCCATCAGAATGAATTTTAGCCACAAGAAACCGGTATGAATTTAATTGATTTGCCTTCAGAAAAATAAATAAAACTGAGCAAACTGGAACCGAACCATGAACTTTGAGATTATGGGGCCCTTGTGTTGCTCACTCGTCTTTCAACGCTTGGGAAAGCGAAAAGGTCAAAGGCGTATATGTGCTACCTCATGTTAGACGAAAATCATTCATAAGTTAAGCGTACACTCACAATATTTTCAAATCTAAATAGATTAAAAGTTACGCTAAATTGCAACTCTCCTGACCGACGCATAGCTTGGTATAAAGAGAGAGAGAAAACACACTTAGTATAAAAATGCTTTATACGAAGACAAGTATAAATCCCTGTTATGTGTAATTTGTATAGTTTGTATTTATGCTTACGCTGTTTAATCTGAATGGGGACGATATTAATTTTGAGTGTTTTTGTTTGTTTTTAAAATATCGCATTTCAACCAGTTATCTTTATTACATGTTTAAAAAACAATACAATATATTACAACAGGAGATCTGCTAAGAAATCCACGAACCAAACACTTCCGGAACACGATGCAGTGAAGAATTTAGTCGTGAAATCAATTTATCGTCTCATTATGCCAGCAATCTCTTCCCATTTGTTAACATCACAATCTTCCGGTACTCGTTGTACGCATTGATGTACATCCGGGCTGCAGATTTTCAGCATCTAGGCCATAACGTTCTTATTGGTTTGCAGCCCATGACAATCCCAACCGAACCGGCGCTACACATGGTGCCTTTGCTGGTGGACATATCGGATCACAATATCCCTCGCCGTTCCGGTTGAATATGGCGTAACAAGACAACCCGCTCTGGTTTATCTATTTCGAAAATTTAATGGTTTATAAATTGCACAATTGTAAAATCGAGAGTTGCATCCAGAAATTTAGCTAAAAGCTTAAAGCAGGGCTTAAATCTACTCACCTTAACTTCTTTGGATTGATTCAGAAGGTCTAAAAGACATTTCCTTATTTCCAATAGTCCAGAACATTTTCTTCCTTGTTTGGAATGCTGATGGTCTCCGGCAATCCAGCAAAACACAGAAAAGATTCCTCTACTAGTATTAATATTTAGTATAAAATGAAAATCTACATTAGATTACTTTTTATACATAGTGATGGGTAAAAAGCCTCTAATCGAAAAATGTATAAATTTTATACATTCTGTGTTTAATAATATTTTTGAGTGTATGAAATTCAAATGTGTCGTTCCCTTATGAAATTCCGAGAGGAATTCTTAAGGCCGGCGCACAATAGATACGTTTTCAGGTTTTTTGACAGTTAGCCCAAAAAAACCCGAAAACGTATGCATTGTGCGCCGGCCTTTAAGCTCATTTGCCTCAGAGTGCACTAGTCCCTGCTAAGAATAAAAAAAAAGTCCGATGTACACTCAGGTCTTTTTTTAAACGGGGTATACACACTAACTTTAGATTACTGGAGTCAGTAAAATTTTACTGGGTTTTTGAATTGCGGATCGCCCAGTAGTCATCACAGAAATAATTTGCATTACCGAACTGTCCGTAAAGTCAATCTGTCAAAAATAACTGTTCATTCAGTAATTGGTTCGAGTTGCGTATACTGGAAAACCCAGTATTTTCTTTTTGTTTATTTTGCTGCAATTTAACTGAAAAGACAGTTATTTGGTCCATTATTATACCGTGTCACCCAGGTATATTAAAAGTAGTGAATTTGCAGTCATAAAAGCATGAATCCTGGTGCAATTCACCGTTTATAATATGCCAATTAATATGACGACTTAATCCCTTGACGTACCCCGGAATAGCGCGTCGACAGTGAAAGCAAACAATGCAAACATCCATTTTCTTAATCAAAATTTGTTGGATACCAAGGAACTGCAAAGAGAGTAACGTGTTGGTACTAACGAAATAGTTCTTCAATTTCGCTGTCGAGCTTTCTCAGTTCCGTCATGATATAATTCAAATTTTAACAAAACCGCGCGATTAAACACTTGCTCCCGGATTTTACTGAAGCTAAAATGGCGTCGGGAATAAAATTGACAGGTTAGAGTTTTACAATTCGTGGTCTTGTTTTACCGACTATTGGCTATTTTGATGACCAGTCGGTAAAAAAATAAAGACTACTTTGGGTACAGTAATTATTTTTGCTGACTTTTCGTGAAATCACGAAAATTTGGAAATTAACGACTTTCTTAGTAAATAAATATTCTGTGTTCAGTATTTTGCATCAAACGATACCGAAGTTCAGTTTGTGTTTTGCAAAACGTCGGTTATTCACCTGATTTAAACTGAATGTTCAGTAAATCTTTCGTTTTACCGTGTAAGCCCAGTACAAAAAATACCGAACAACTAAATGCTGGATTAGTGTGTACGGTCCGTGTAAAAAAAACCGTGTAAAAAAAAACCTACGAGATTTTGATTTTTCGCATGCTTAAATCACAGACAAACAGACATAACACTCGCAAGTTGTTCATCGAACAAGTATTTAACGGTCAATTTAAAAGTATCATAGTTGGTAGTATCGCCACCTGTGGCGCGCATAGTCAATTCCCTTGCGTTTGACGTTTACACACTACCGCCATCTGTTCAGCGTACTACCCACCACAGTGTTCTCAACAGATGCACGCAGAAAAATTGATTTTTGTTTCAGGGCCTAATGTATTTTGTTATTGATTCAAACATATTGTATCACTATTTCAACAACACATGTTTTTGAATCAACAAAATGGTTTTTAGAATCAACAAACAGATTATTGACTCTACAACCGGTTTGTTGATTCAAAAATATTTTTCTTTGAATTAACCGAATAATATATTTGAAACAATATCAAAAATATATTAGGCCCTGAGTCAAAAATATATCCATTTGAACTTAAAAACCATTTCTCTGCGTGTGGCGGTAATGTTTTTGCGACAATGTTTTACAGTGAGAAATATTCAATGTGTTATGTCTGTTTGTCTGTGCTTAAATGTTTTTAAAAAATCGGATTTTGATGCCATTTGTAATTAAAGCATGATATGGTCCATATAGACATATTTAAAAAATTTCTGTATTTACACCAAAAATTGTGATTTTTTTTTAAGTATGCCATTCGATTACAAATAGCTTGAAATGGATAATGTGATTGGAATCAAGTCGATAGGTTGTATCGTTGTCGAGAAATCGTTAAAAACGTACCGTGTAAATCGTGGAAAACCGTGTAAAAAAAACCGTGTAAAAAAAAAACCGCGTAAAAAAAACCGTGTAAAAAAAGACTTCAGTGTATTGTCTTGTCTTAGGGCCCAACAATCGGTTCCGCGCGGTGTAATCGCCTGGCTGGTAAACCAGCGCACACCGCTTCCACGCATTTTGACAGTTCAACAGAGAAAAAAAAAACGAAAAAAATAATAAAGAAAAATCCGAAAACATCAGCCAGTTTGTCGGACGACGGAGATGGAGGAGTCACAGAGAAGAGCATTATAACACAGTCGTCGTCAGTCTCAAGAGTCGCAGGAGGAGGACGGTACGCGTTTGTTGAAAAAAAAAAAGAGAAGTCGTAATCGTTTCCACCATAGTAGTTCAGTTCGTAGTGATTTTCAATAAACTTTTTCCTGCGCAAAAATTACATTTTCCGGTCGAAATTTCGCTTCAATCCGTGCGTGGTACGACGGTGAAGGAGCGGGTTGTGAAAGTGACTTGGTGGCGATCGTGAAAGGCGCAGAAATTCTGCGATGAAGAAGTGAAAATTTCAGAACAGTTTTTTTTTTCTTTCGTCTGACATCCGAGACAAGGCCACGGTGGAAGTTGAAGAATACTGCTGCAGTAGCAGCAGCAGGCAGTGGAGAGGCCTCGCATAAAGAATAAGAGGTTGTGCGAATTTCATCAAGAATAACGCACTCACGGTCACGGTGTGTGTTCTCTGCTGGTGAGGATTGAAGAGTGCAGTTATTTTGTTGTTCTTTGCTGGTGTTGTGTGTTTTGTGAGTGGAATATTAGGCTTTAGAATATTGCAGCTGGCAGGTGTGCTGGGCTCTGCAGAAGAGCAGCTCTAAACAGGAAGGAACGGAAGTTGTGAGCAGCTGAGCGCTCGGGACTGGTAGCTGGGCAGTCGATTGTGTGCATTTTGTGTACATATACAAGTCTGCCAGTAGTGGCTGCGAGCGAGAAGAGACACGTAAGTTCCATCCGACCGTCATGAGATGATTGCTAGTAGTACTTATAAACTAACATACATAGATGAAGCGAGCGAACGAAATGGGGGTTTTCTGCTGCGCTTGTTTTTATTTCCCGATATGCGATGTAACCGTAACGTTACATTTCAGAGGTGAACACGGGGGCGCATTGTTTATTGTTATTCTTATTATTGCCCGAGCTATTTAGTGCTAGTGTAGATAGGTCTCACACATTGAGTTTCGCTTGCTACGCAAAAGTATTGCCATTGGACCGGCAAAAGGTGAGACACAGCGTATTATTGCTTGGTAATTGCCATACTTTATACAATTCAGTAGCTACCAACTCCATATCAAATTTTTCCTATAGTAGAGGAAAAAGGTTTACGGTTCTGCCAAATTACCGATTCTAAGTCTGCCTAGATTACAGCACAACTTTCTCACGTTTGCTCGGGAAAGTATCAAAATAGATCATTATCGACAGAAGAAAAAAAAACAGTTTAATTCCCGACTCGATCCGTTGAAATTGATGACTCAAAGCCAGCCAGCAGTAGCGAGCTGTGAACTGCGAACGCGGGGGAAATAACTGTATAGCAATGTGTACACATTATAACAGGCAAGCTCATAGGCGTTTCCAGTCAGACACAGTTTGTTTAGTTTTTGAGTTACAGTGCTTGTTATCAGCCTTTCAGTATTGCTAACATCGAACCTTTATTTGTTTATTTTTCCTAATGGGTTTGCATAGGTTAAGCTTTCGAACAACTAAAACTTCACCACAATGACAAGATTCTATAACTTTAATATGGCTGAAAGTGTTTTGAAATGTGCAGTCATCATCAGTGTCATTCCCACTGTGAGACTGGTACTGATGATGACTGCACATTGTAATCGAAATACGTACCCATCTGTCATGGATACAAAATACTCTTCTGAGTATTCCACTAATAAACTAATTCATAACATTAAATATTTTTAATTGTCAGCTTGATCAACTTCACCCTAGCTGAAAATCACGCTTTTTTTAATCAACCAAATATACAATTTAAAATCCAAATACAGGCATTTGAGAATCATTTACCAGTACACGTTTGAGAGGTATTTGTTTGTGTATCGAACGTGTCACGAATTAATTTTTAAACAGCTGTCTCTGGTTTTGTAAACAATGATTCAAAGGTCAATTTGTCGAAACTCTTAGCTCGATCATGCAAATTAACAATACCATAATGTTGGAGAAACTTCCGCTACCTGTAATTTGCGTGGGCGAGCTCAGAGATTGGATCAATATTGACATTTGAATCTTTGTTTACAAAGCAGATACGGCTATTTGAAAGTTCACTCTTGATGTGATTGGAATAATATTCAGGTTTGATAGTAATTAGCGATCAACTTCTCTCCCCAGTTTGCATTACATTTGAAATGATCAGTATGATTATCAATCCTTATCCCACACTTAGAAGCTATGACCGACTTCGGCCATTTTTCCCGAACTTTCAACAGTTGTTTTTTTGTTGTTGTTTTCAACAGTAAAATTCAAGCAGTTTTTATCTAGTTTGTTTATGTGAAAGGCTCAATCGCGTATGCTTTACGGAGCCGATAATTGTTCATTATTTGTAACAAAATTCACTTAATTCTATGTCTAGGTTAGAGGGGTACATTGTCGAAGGATAGGATCAGGGGAGGTGTTTTGGAGTGGGGTTTCGTTGTCTCATCAGAGCGTTGTCGCCAGTATGAATGGTAGTGCGGTTCTAGTTTCGTTCTGGAGTTCTGCCGACTATGGTGACCAGTGGGCTACGATGAGACTCATCGAGACGGGGGGAAAAAGTCAAACAAAAAGTAATAAAGAGAGACCATGGTATTACATTGTTATAGGAGAAATGGATGTTATGTCGGCCTAAATGCCCCTAATTTGGGCCCTTACATAAATTCAGCAATCGACTAAATTTTCAATAGCAACCAAAAATATTCATTAGTACCGTCCCAATGACGCATTCATCTAGATCAATTGTAGAGAGTAATTGAAACACGTCTTTATCGGTTGACGTTGAACAGTGGAATGAAAATTTTATTCAGAAACTTAGCAACTAATAACAAGTGCATATAGCGACGCGAATTACTAGGTTGCTACGATCACAATACTCCTCCCTAATCCGCGACGCCAGTTAGCTTCCGAAACTTCTGCTGCTTCTGAACGGTCATCGGTTTCGTGAACCCATCGGCTGGCAGTTCCGTTGTCGCCGTGTAGCTCAGTTGGACGACACCATGCTGCAGGCTATCATGCACGAAATGGTACCGTATACTAACGTGCTTGGTCCGGGGGTTATACGAACCGTTGTTGGCGATGCTGATTGCCGATTGATTATCGCAGCACACGGAAATCGGTTTGGCCTCGCAAAACTGCGACTGCAGATTACTCCACCACATAGCTTCCTGGATCGTGCGAGACATGGCCATGTATTCCGCTTCACAGGACGAAAGGGCTACGGTAGGCTGCTTCTTGACGTTCCACGAGATCGCACCTCCCTGCATCATGAACACATAACCGGTTGTGGATTTCCGGTCGTCCGCATCTCCTCCCCAATCGGCATCGCTGTACCCAACTATGTCCGCTGGACCGCTTGTCGAGTACTCTAGCTTCTTGGTTATTGTACCTTTCAGGTACTGGATTATCCTCTTCACCGCTTCCCAGTGAGGACGGCCAGGGTTGGCACTGTACTGGCTCACAACGTTGACGGCAAAAGCAATATCCGGTCGGGTGACTTGAGCTGCAAACGACAAACACCCGACTGCTTCCTTGTATGGCACTGACTTCATTTCTTCCATTTCAGATTTCGTCTTCGGTGCCATCGACTTGTCCAACTGATGCTTGGATCTGCTGGTGTTGCAACTGGGTGGGCATCGGCCATACCGAAGCGATTGACGATGTCTTCGATGTAGGTTTGTTGATCCAACCACAGCTTGCCTTCTTCACGCTTCCTCGTGATTCTGATGCCAAGACATTGTTGCGCCTCCCCGAGGTCTTTCATTTGGAACCGCTTGTGCAGATGGGCCTTCAGCTTCTTCTTTTGCTTCCGATCGTTTGTGAAAATCAAGAGATCGTCGACGTAGATAGTCACAAACATCATCTTTCCTCCACGGATGCACCAGTACAAACAGGGATCCACGCTCGACCGTTTCAGTCCGAACTCCTGCAGCACCACATCCAACTGCGCGTTCCATACGCGGCTGGACTGCTTGAGACCGTAGAGGGCCTTCTTCAGTCTGCACACTTTTCCATTCGACGCATCGAACCCTTCTGGCTGGAGCATGTAGATCTCCTCGTCCTTCAGCTCGCTCTGTAGAAATGCAGTGACCGCGTCCATTTGGTCAATATCCAAGTTGTACCGCACCGCCAGTGCCATCAGATACCGGACGGTCGCGTACCGCACGACCGGGGAGTACACCTCGTCGTAGTCCAGACCAGGTCGTTGAGAGCAGCCCTTCACCACGAGGCGGGCCTTGTACCTCTGGATGGTTCCGTCGAGACCTCGCTTCGTTCGGTACACCCACTTGTTCCGAATCGCTTTCCGCCCTTCAGGCAGATCGGTGAGCACCCACGTGCTATTTTCGCTGAGGGATGCAATTTCCTCACGCATAGCCGCAATCCAATGATCTCGGTCCGGCCGCCGCAGAACCTCATCGTAGCTCGTCGGATCATCCATCGTATCATCGTCGCTCGTCGTGTTGAAGGATAACTGAGGGTAATGAACACCACCAGATAAGGAACCGTAACTAATAAAGTCATTATACTTGCCTGGATTACGGCGCTCCCGACCGCTGCGCCTTAACCCTTGCTGCAACTCAGCTGGTCTAATCAGTTGCGGTGGGAGCGCAAAATCGGCACAGGCATCCTCGAATTCGTCTGCCTCACTGGACGAACTGTCGACAACGACGATGTCTTCCTCCGTTGTTTCGGTTTCACCAGGATTGCCACCCGGTTGATCGATAACAACAGCAAGCCCGGCTGCACCAGGTACGACGATGCCATTCGGTTGTTCGCCTAGAGGAAGCACAGCGTGTTGACCATCTTCAGGAGTATCAGCTGCACCGGACTCAGGACGATCATGGATTTCATCCGAACAAAGCTCCATGAACTCCACCGGCTGCACTCGTTGTTCTGCCATACAGATAGCGACGCCTTCTTCCAGTACCATGACATCTCGGCTAACGTGGAAACGGTCATTCTCTGGATCATACACCCGGTAATCTTTCGTGTCTTCACAATAGCCGACGAAAATGCCTTTCTCAGATTTGGGATCAAACTTCTTCCTTTTCGCTTTCGGTACCAGAGTCATCACGCTCGAGCCAAAAATCTTGAGGTGCTTCAAATTCGGCTTCTTTCCGGTCCACGCCTCTTCCGGCGTTTTCTCTTCCAGGGAACGAGTAGGACATCGATTCACCACGTGAGCCGCGGTCGAAATAGCTTCTGCCCAAAACTCTTTTCCCAGCTTCGCATCGTTGAGCATGCACCGCGCCTTTTCAACCAGCGTGCGGTTCATGCGTTCTGCCGCCCCGTTCTGCTCAGGCGTATACGGGCACGTGGTTTGATGTCGAATCCCATCGGACTCCAACACCTTCCGGAAATCTGCATTCACGTACTCCTTTCCGTTGTCTGAACGCAAGATTTTTAGCTTCTTGCCCGTCTGTCTTTCCGCTTTGGCCTTGAACGACTTGAACGCTTCGAGTGCTTGATTTTTCTGCTCCAAGAAGTAAACCACCACCCGCTTGCTTGCATCGTCCAGGAACGTCATGAAATAACGGCTTCCACCCAACGACGAAATCTCCACTGGTCCGCAGAGGTCGGAGTGTACCAACTCCAACAGTTCTTCAGCTCTTGACTCGCTGCTTGGGAATGAACGCCTCGTATGCTTGTCCTCCAGACAGGCAACACATCCTTCTAACGACCCATCTTGGAAATCTATTCCGTTGGCGATTCGCTTGAGCTTCTTCAAACCACCTTCGTGAAGAT